AAAGAACTCAGAAAAATTAGATTCCCCAAATTTGAAAACTCAATTCAAAAATGGCATCTGAAATGAATAGATACTTCTCAGATGAAGAAATACAAACAGCAGGTAAATATATATAAAAAAATCAATATCACTGGTGATTCAAGAAATGAAAATTAAAACAACACTGAGATTCTCACTCCAGAAAGAATGACAATCATCAAGAAATCAACCAATAACAAATGCTGATGAAGCTTCCAGGAAAAGGAACCCTTTTCCATTCCTGATGGGTGTGTAAACTGGTACAGCCACTATGGAAATCAGTATGGAGATTCTTCCAAAAACTAAAAGTAGAGGTTCATTTTGACCCAGCCATTTCCTTCCTAGATATCTTTCCAAAAGATTTAAAAGTGTCATACCGCAGTGATATATGCTTCCCCATGGTTATAGCAGTGCAATTTATAATAGCTAAATCTTAGGAACAAGCCATATGTCCACCAACCAATGTATGGGTAAAGAAAATATGGTGTTTATATAAAACAGAGTACTGTTCTGCCATAAAGAAGGTAAAATCGAGTCATCTGAAGGAAAATGGATACACCTTGAGACCATAATCTTAAGTGAAATAATCAGACACACAAATTTAATATCACATTATTTGTCATGTATGTGGATCCCAAAGGGTAGACAAGGAACAGTGGAAGGCAGATTTTGAGAAGCAGGAAGAAAATGTTCAAAGGAGAAGAGGAACAAGAGAGGGTGGAGGGGGGAGGGAAGGAATGGAAAAGGATGAAAAGGAGAGCAGAAGGAAAAATTGGAAACAAAGCTTTTGTACGTGGGGAGGGCAAGGAAAGAATGCTGGGAGGGGAAAGAATTCAGATATATTATACATAGATACCAATTCCCTATGGTGAATGTGATTAACATGTATGACAAATATGTATAAATAAAAATATAAAGTTAAAAAACCTGTACCCGATTAGGTAATCATTGCTATAATCAGGATGAGATGTTGAGCATTTCAATAGCCTCCTTTTAAAATCCTCTCATTCCTCACAGTCCTGTATTTTAAAATCTTAATCATTGTGGCCTAAATTTTTTTAAGGTCCTTGTCTGCCAACTCCATTATCTCTGCTGCTTCTGGATCTGTTCCTATTGATTATATTTTCTCTTGGTTTTATTCTTGTTTTTCTACATGCTACACGCCTAGTGAATTTGTATGGGTGTTTGGCATTGTGAATTTTTGTTGTTCAGCGCTCATTGTACTGCGTTCTGTTTACAGCTATTTTTCTAAGTATTTAAGTTCCTTGGAATCATTTTTATCTTTTCAAGATTTTTCTTACAAGCTTCTTATGGTGGCCGACAGCAACCTTAACTTAGGGCTAATTTAGCTCTACTTTTCTGGCATCGCGATTCTTGACAATTTGTAATTACTTTTGCTTTCAGTGTTATTTTTTAAAAATGTCAAAAAATGAGGAGAACTGTCTTACTTTTCATAACATTTACTATTTTTAGTGTAGATACAAATTTCCTTTTGTATAATTTCTTTCCTCTGCCTGAAAAAATTTCTTTAACATTTTGTAGTAAATAACAATCTCTCAGGGTTTTTTCCCCTCAGTTTTGAAAGATTATCTTCTCTGTATGTGGAAATACAGAGTGATAGTTTTTTTTTGCCAGTACTTTAGAGATGTGGTTCTAGTCTCTTGTGATCCTCCTTCCTCTGGTCAATGTGTATTTTTTCCATATTTGTAAGATCCTCTTTTGCCAGTAGTTTGGAGCAATTTCATTACTATGGTGTTTGGGTAGTTCTCTTTCTACTTTCTCCTTTCATTATATCATGACCCCTAGCTAAAGTGTTTTTATTAGTAGTTTTGCAATTCTTGACTGCTAATTCCATTTCTGTCATTTTTGGCATTCTATAGATTATTTTTCATGGTCATGGATTATATGTTCCTTTTTCTTTGCATGCCTTATATTTTTGACCAAATACCAGACATTATTTACATTAAGTAAAAAAAAAAAAACTTATAGAAAAAAGATCAAGGAAATAATCTCATTTATATTAACTAAATAAAATAAAATAATTAGGAGAAAAATACCCAAGGAAGTGAAAGAACTATCACTGAAAAGTATCACAAACACCTAATGGAGAAAGAACAATCTTTTCAATAAATGATATTGGAAGAACTGTATATATGCATTATGAAAAATGCAATTAGACCCTCATCTCACACTATGTACAAAAGTCAACTCAAACTGGATTAAAAACTTAAGTATAAGACCTGAAATTAAAACTACTAGAAAAAAATAATAAATGAAATGTCCATGAAATTCATCAGGACAGTGAGTTTTTGGCTATGATCCAAAAAGCACAGACAATAAAATCAAAGTAGACAATGGAAGTATAACAAAGATACAAGCATGGAAACAATTCACAGAGTACAGAGACAGAAGTAGAGAGACATCCTAAGGAATGAGTCAGAAAACTGTCAATCTATATATCTGATAGGATTTTTTTTCTTTTTTTTTGAGACAGGGTTTCACTGTGCAGTCAGGCTGGCCTTGAGCTCACTCTATAGCCCAGGCTGGCCGGAGACCTTCTGTCTTAGCCTCTCAAGTGCTGGGATTACAAGCATGTGCCATCACGCCCAGCTGATAGGGTGTTAATATCTGAAATATGTAAGGAATGCAGATAACTCCATAGTAAGAAAAAATAACCCACTTATAAAGTGGGCAAAAAATGTAAATAGACACTTCTCAAAATGACCAAGAGGTACAAGAGAAAATACTTAATATCATAGAAAAATGTACATTAAAACTACAACCACAGGTTACCATTTGCCTGTTAGAATGTTGTTACCAAAAAAGACAAAAGAGAGGAACTTGAAAGGACGTTGATAAAAAGGAATTCTCAGAAACTGTCGAGTGGGAATGTGAACTGGTACATTCAGAAATTTGCCAAACTTCATCATGTTGGAGTTTTAAAACATCATACTCATTTAAAAATTTTTTTTTGTCTTTTTTGAGACAGGGTCTCACTATGCAGTTCAGGCTGGCCTTGAGCTCACTTTCTAGCCCAGGCTGGTCTCGAACTCACAACGATCCTCCTGCCTCAGCATCCCGAGTACTGGGATTACAGGCATGCACCACCACACCCGGCTAAAACATCATACTCAGAGAAGAATTACACCAATTTTCTACAGGATCACTTTCAGACAATTTGATGAAATTGACATTTACAGTACTGTACCCCATAACTGCAAAATTCCTATTCTTTAAAAGTATCTGCCAAAGTTTCACCAAGACAAAACATATTGAGCGACAAAGCTCTCTGCCTACAAACAGATTAATTAAAAGTCAATTAAAGTATGGAGACAAATCACAAAAAGGTGGAAATTACATCACCCATAGCAAATTAAAAAACCCTCAAATATCAAAAATTGTGCGAAATAACTGAAACAGAGCTTAGAGGGAAAACAATGACTTTTAAGGGCTTCATTAGGAAAGAAAAAAGGCGAAAATGCAGTGATCAAAGTTTCCACATTAAGCTGTCCAGTGCTTATCTGTGGAATAAGCATTTAAAAACCTGGAAGAAAGATACCTTAAGCCCATCCCTGTGGCTCACATCTGGAATCCTCTGACTCTGGGACGCTGAGGCAGTAGGATTGCTAATTCAAGCTTAGCCCGGGCTACTTAGCAAGGTCTTATCTCAAAATTTTTTTTAAACAGGGCTGGGGAGGTAGCTTAGTACAAATGCCCTGCACTTAATCCCCAGTTCTCTCTCTCCTCATATATATATATTACACACACACACACACACACACACACACACACACACACACACACACACACATTTCTGGTATATATATGTATATATATTTCTAAAAATATAAACATATTTCTAATATATATTTCTAAAAAATTTCAAGTAACATAGGATGATGAGAAAGAAAAACAGTAGTGAAAAATGGAACAACAGAGAATAAAATATGTTAGATTTAGCCTTATCATATCAGTATTTATTTAAAATAAATGCTCTAGGTACATCAATTAACAGAGATTTTAAATCTGTTAAAATAGGACCCAAATGTACACTATCTATAAAACACTTAAATGAAATTATATACATTAGTTACACATATAGGGTAGATATACCTCAGCATTAACAAAGGACAAACTATTGATACGTGTAATAATTTGAACAGTTTCTCAAGGACATAACAGCTAATCTTCAAAAGTCTCAAACTGTGTGACTGTACTTACAGAATAGTATGAGATGACAAAATTATGGCGGTTTGAAACATTAATGGCTGTCAGGCATTTGGAGTGATGGGAAGCAGAAGAGCAGGAGTGACTATGCAGGTGTATGGGGACATGGCAAGGCTGATCTTTGAGCTCATGGAATAGTTCTGAATCTTGATTTCAGTGATAGTTACAAAAATGTACATATGTGACAAAATGCCACAGACCTAGAAATAAGCACATTACACCCATGCCAATTTTTTTGATAGTATGCATGATTTAACCATTGGAGAATACTGGATGAGGTGTGCAGGGAACATTTCTTACTACATTGTTTCACTTATGAGCGATCATTTTAAAATTTAAAAAGTTAAAAAGGAATAAAGTACTGGTGTATATACGTATAACATTGATGATTATCAGAACAATATGTTCATAAAAAGAAAATATACTATATAGTTCTAAAAAGCCTAAAAACAGTCTAGAATATAGTATATGAAGTCTGGAACAAAGAGAAATAATTCATGATGACATAAATTGGAGTAGTAGTTACCTAAAGGTGTGGAGTGTGGGAAACTTTGACTAGCAAGGGGCACAAATGAACGGAGATTGTCAAATCCCAGCAAAGTGTTTCTTTTAGACCTGTACATTTTATTGCATATGAATTACAGCCAAAAAAACTGAAGAGAACTATAAATAACATTTCAAAAATGACATACTCTTTTTACCAGTTTCCTAGTAAAGTAATCCTATTACATCTGTGACTATCTCTTCCCCTACAGCAAGAATTCTTTGAAAGCCTTTATATCTTGTACACTATCGGCTATTCCATCTCCTTTGGTTCCTTGGCTGTGGCTATTCTCATCATTGGCTACTTCAGGTGAGTGATTCTTTTTTTCTTTTTGGTACTGGGATTCGAACTCAGGACCTTGCACTTGCCAGGCAGGTGCTTGTGCCACTGAGCTATATCCTCGGCCCTAGGTGAGTGATTCTTAATCACTTTGTCCATGAAGGGATGTGTTCTGATTCCTATTCATAGGAGACACAAAGATCTCACAGTCTGTGCCCCAAAATATTTTTCCTAAGAAACCTCTTTTTTTGGCTTCTCTCTACGTATTTGCAGTTGACCTTGAACTCACTATGTAGCCCAGGCTGACCTTGAACATATGCGTCAGCCTCCCTAGTGCTAGGATTACTGGTGTGCACCACCACACCTGGCCCAAGACATTTTAAATTAAATCTTATGCTATTATATTATTTGGCAATTCATTTTTCATTACAAATTTAGGGGTTTTGAGTTAAAACCTAAGTCAAAGTCATGATATCTAATAATAGATCTGTACTTCTATATTTCTCACGAAGTAGTATCCTAGAGTCCAGTGAGTTATGACAGTAATAATTTACATTTCCCAAATAATTTTGGTGCCACTGGACAAAAGAACTCCAAATTATTTGATATTAGCACATGAAAAGACAGTGTTTTCAGATTTTGTTGTAAACTTGTGCCCAGTTGAATTTGACTTAATATAAATCAACACAAATGTTTGATGGTCCATAAAGAGCTATGACACTATTGTCTAGAGGGTGCATGTGCTCATGAGTCTCATAGTTGATCTATGATGCCAGTATTTGGCAAAACAAGCAGTAACAATGTGAACAGTGCTATGAGGAGGTGCCTAGTAATTTGCTCTATGTTTGGGAGTGTGCAGTCATTTGGGAGGAGGAGAAGGCAATGAAGTCGTGCCTTCTTAGATGAACAGAAATCCAAAACAATACCTGCGATATGATTTAATTTGAGACCTGGTAAGAGAATTGCAAACCTGTGTTACATCAAGAAAAATTAACTGTTTGAGAATTTAGAACTTCTTTATTGACTGACTAATCCATTTATTTAAGATTTTTCTCTAGTGCATGATAGACTGTTTGGTATTGATGGAGATTAATGGGAGAGAAAAGTAGCATCATATGAACATTATACAGAGGAACTGACTTATTATATCATTATGGAAGTGTGAATACTGTAGTACAGATTTCTATGTAGGGCATTGGGAACACCAAGGAGCCAGTGCAGAGCTGCCCAGGTAAGAGGAAGAAACTTCCCAGAACAACTGAGCTGTGAGGCAGAATTGAGTAGTGAGGGGAAGACCAGCATTTTCCTGATGGTGGGGACAGAATGTGCAAAGACACGGAGGCATAAAGGTGCTGAGCAGACTCAGAGAACATGCATGCACGTGGAGCTTTTAGGAATGGTCAGGAAGAAGGTAGGAATTGTGGCACTAGGTTTATAGACCCTCATGGAGGGCTTTGAGTTTTGTCCTACAACGGTTAGAAGAAGGTAATGAAAAACAAAATGTTTTTCCAATATCAAAATGTTCTTTTTCTTAGAATACTGTAAAAGGATAGGCAAAAAAGTGACAACGTGAATTTTGAAGGCTGGAACTGATAGTGAAAAATCCAAGGCACCTCATTAAAAAGTTTTGTTTTCCTTTTTGACAATAATGACTGTGTCCATGATCTTTTCTAAAATCATTTAGATTTTTTAAAACTGATATGTAAAGACTGTGTATATTTATAGAGTAGCACAAAGTATAGAGTACCATAAATAGTATATGTATAGAACACACATATACAGTATATGTGTACTATGTTGGTAGCACATATATAGAGTTCCATCATGTACATTGTGTAGTATTTAAATTAATTAAATAAACCTATCTCCTCAAATATTCATTTTCTTTTAAAATTTGTTTTATTTATTTTCTGTCACCTTTTATTATTACCATGTTTTCCATACATAATGATCATATTCATTGTGAGGAGTTGATACATGTGCAAAAAACATTTTTATTCTTTTTACTTTCTCTTTCCTTTCCATTCCTACTTTTCCCTCCATTGCTTGATCTCCTTTCCATTTGCAAAAGATCTATCTCGATCTTTCCTATTATTGATCTTTTATTTTGCTCTAAATTATTTTATACATTGGTCTTCTCATGTCAGAGAAACAATGATATTTAAGAAATGACTCATTTGCTCTTGTTTATGGCAGAGTAGTACTCCATTGTGTGTAAATACCATGTTTTCTTTATTCATTCATCTGTTGGTGGACGAATAGGCCACTTCCAAGATTTAATTATTGTAAGCTGTGCTTCTGTAAACATGAGTATGAATGTATCACAATAATATGATGTCGTTAATTCATTTGGGAGGATACCAAAAGGGGAATAGCTAGATCAAGTGGAATTTCTAGTTTTAGTTTTTTGAGGATTCTCCATACCAATTTCCATGGTGGTTGTACTAGTTTACTTTCCCATC